GCTTGCATTATCACTAAACATTCGACAAGCCACTCGGCTTAGAGCAAATGACAGGCCGGTCCATACTGGATCTAGTAATCACGAGAACCCGTATAAACGTAGGGACAATAACTCATTAGGAACCCCTGGGGAAAAGTGATCATGTAGTCTTACCACTAACGCTAGAAAGCAGACACCAAACCAGTGGTCAAACTAGGGAGGGGATATGGCAAAATCAAGCAGAACGAACTGCCCAGAGCGGAGCAGGATACAAACTGGGCATCCTACTCAGCCGATACATCTTTGGAAACCAGGTAGAGTCATATAAAGGCTGGACTTCTACTCAGGGACAGGTTTGCACCTTTGGTTCCGTTAAGAAAGAAGCAACGTCCTACTTGGTGGCAGGCAAATATAGATAAGGCTATAACCATTCGTCGAGGGCAGTGGGCAGTCTGTAAACTGTATGGCACCCATCAGTCGTGGAATGCCTACAAAAAAGCGCACAACTATGCACAGAGAGTGCAAATGAAGGTTAAATATCAATTCGAGAGAAACTTGGCGCAAAACGTCAAGCGGAATCCTAAGTGTTTCTACGCATATGTCCACTCTAAGCGAAACACTCGGGAAACGGCTGGTACACTAGAATCGTCGACCAAGAATTAATAGAGTGAAGGCGATAGAGCACGTATCCTGTTACAGTTCTTCAAAAGCACCTATAGGATCCCCAGGGTGACAGATAATCTTCCATCACTCAAAGTAACTGCACCATGCCCCAAATCACTGTAGAAATTCAGGATGAGCAGCGGGATTTGACCGAGCTCCATAGGTCCAAGGCGGCGAAACCCGACGAAATTTACCCAGCGATTGTACAACAGTCCCAAACGTCTGCTGCAAAGTCATAGTAGTGGCAATACACAAGTCTGGATCCCGGTAAAAAGCCGACAATTACAGACCAGTTAGTTCGACGTCAGTAGTGTGTAAATTCTTGGAGCGCCAAATTAGAAGGTAAATGTGCCACTAGATGGTCAATAGCGGAGTGTTGGTACCAGCTCAGCACAGATTTGTTGAAAAGAGATATTGTCTGATAAACCTGTTGGTATTTCTAGACGAGGTCACACGTAGAATAGGTGGGGGCCTGTAGTGACAATGTTTGTAAAAAAAAGAAGCAATGCACGGGAAAGTTTTTCGTCCATATCTACTTCATAAGCAACTCTCAATCCAACTGTGATATTTATTTGTGTTTTATTTCACTGCTTGTTTTACTGAGCACGGTTTTCTGCTCAGGTGAATATATAAGCTGGGTCCTGTTCAAACCCACTCAACACGTGAAACACGCTTTTGCTTTGCTGCTGCAATTTTTTGCTTGCATTGTTTAGTCGTCACCTCGGCACGTATTTGGTACTTTCTAGTACCACGAATCGCCAATAAACTTTTACTACCGCCACGATTATTTTTGTCTACCGCGGTCAACGAGACGCTAGGAGGTCGCGTGCTATTTGAAATCCGCATGAAGACTAATCGGCAGGCCGTCAACGCCAACTGGCTTCAGGCCCACTGATGGAGGTGTGCTATTTGGACTTCCAGAAAAATACATTTCACTCGGTTAGCCACCATCTGTTAGATCATTAAATGCATTTATTGGGAATAGGTGGGCAAGTCAGGAGCTGGATAACGGGCTTTCTTGCGCAGCGGACGTTTAGTGTCAAAGTAGGAGCTTTGATGAAATATCCTCATTGATCATTGAAAATATCAGTGAAGCAAAGAATTCTTTTTGATTACTCATTCTACATTAATATATGATCACAAGGAGTTCACCAATACCATCGTTAAAAAAGGCAGATTGATGAATATTCGCTTCTTAGGAACGGTGTAAAGTTGGATCTTTTGTCCTTTCGTTTTCCTATATTCTTTGATGTACTTGTCTGGGTATCCATTCTGTCGCAGTGCTTTATGGTTTATCTAACTCACTTGGCAATGTTCCGTCGGAACAAATCATTCTTACTCGTTGCGTTAGACAACGCACTAGGTTTCGTTTCTGTTTGATCGTTACTACACTATGGAATTTTATGTATTGCCCAATCCACGTTTGCTTTCTGTACGCACTCCTCTGAATGGTTCCATCTTCATTTCGGGAAAGCAACTCCAGTGTAAACTGAATCGACCGATGTGCTTTGTTGAACAT